TCTCTCTCTCTCTCTCTCTCTCTCTCTCTCTCTCTCTCTCTCTCTCTCTCTCTCTCTCTCTCTTGCTCGTGCGGTGAGAGCCCGCCGAAGCTGTTGCCATTGACGAAGAATCGTTCGTGTGTATATATTTCGAGAACTCGCGGGGAATGGTCGCCGATTATCGGACCACGATACCCGCTCGTCGGGCATCGACGACAAACGAGAGGCGTATTATCACGAAATACGCCGCGATTGTAAAATTTATCGCCCGACACTTTTACACGCCGCGTCGGATTTTACGACTGTGATGTCTGATTGAGAATCCCGCGAGTCTCACTAACGCAGCCGATCTTTATTTATCGACACGCTGTGTCGATCGCGCCGAGAGTCACGCGCGTCGCGTGAACCGATGGTCCGACGTGTCGTCGTTTCAATATCGCTTGATAAGTAGCCAAACAGTAAAACATCTTGATTAATCGAGGAGCGTCTCGAAACGAGCTAACGGTCTTGTCACCTCGGCGCTCCTCCTATGCCTCACTGCGAAGGTAACGTCTGTGGTTCCCGCGGCGATTAAGGAATTGCTTAATTAACCGTAACGCAATGCACATTCATTGTGGACTGAAAGGTTGTCCGTTATTTTTGGGGCGAGTTTGTGAACTCTCAGTCCTGTTCAACGGGAGAATTCCTGTTCAATAGGAGAATCCCCCTTATTTTTTGGTGAAGATAAATGAGTTCGCAAACTTACCCAATAAATTATATTAAGGAAAAAATGTTTGATATTTGTAACTATAATCACATAGAAAAATAATTGCTATCAATTATACTCAAGAAAATCATATCTTTTTATTAAATTCTACTATGATGTTGATAATAACTTAGATGCGTGTTACTACTACCATTTTACTACCATTTTACTACAAAAAGACATAGTTAGGGCCAAAAGTAACTATAATTTTAGTTAGATCAATCATTTTTTTCTCTCGGTGTACCTCTCTGTCCATGAATGAAAATTTTGACACGATGCATCTACCTGATCTAACCTGACCTGATCTACAATCTTAGCGCGTCAATCCAAGCGTGGATCGAGACGATCTCTTTTAATTTGGGGGGTAACGTACATTGTTCGAGAGTCGTCGCTTCATCGGCGCGCCTCTCTGGCGAGAAGGAAGTTCGTTTGGGATACGGTTCCGGTACGCGAGGTGCGCGATTAATACCATCGATGAGAGATCTATAATGAAGATCCCAGCGGGATTCGTTTCTCAGCGCGCAGTGCGGCTCGAAGGGCCTATTTGCACTTCGTCATTGTGCACTCCTATGAAACCAAAGGACGCGACCACCGGGCTGGGGAAGAAACCCCCCAGCGTCCTATTGACGAATTCTCTCCGCAGGCATTCTGAGGATAGGAGTGCGGACATGTCAGCAATACAAGTGGATGCAAAGAGGAAAAAGGCCGCAGAGAAAAAGTCGGCCACGCCACCGGGCTCGTAAATTTTTCCCGACGGGATTGGACACGGAGAACTCGCAGCTTCTTGTCCCCGCTCGTTCTACGACGACGACGATGGTCGTCATGCCTCCTCGCGCGTTTGATGCCGCATGGCGAACGAGGCCGGATGACGTGCACTCCGTGAGCGACTTTGCGATTTGAACCGCTCCGTCGCAGCGGACGGACAAAGCGCGCGAGAGTGACATTTTGACGTCTGCATTATGTTGCGTCGCGGCGCATCGGGATATCGTGGGGATCGAAGACTTCTCCGACGGTAAAGGAGGAAGACGAGGAGGATGAGAGGAGAGATCGAAGGGGTGTGCGTGTTGCCGGTCAATCGCGAAGAGCGGACGGGACGTTTGAGCGAAGACAAATCGGCGACGGTCGCGAAACACGAGTTCTCCGTTGGGAATTTCTGAAAACACATCGAGGATGGAAGATCGAGAAGACTTCGCACATGTAGCAACCCCGATTGCGATATCAGTGTTGTTGACACAAGTTGCGCTCTGGGAAACGTCGGGAGCAAGCTCCCGAGGGTTCGAATTCGAGATCGCTAGGTCGCAGAGGCACTCACCGACGGTGCTCCAAGAGGATCAGCAGCAAGGCGACGGTGGGGCCGATCCTGGTGGCGATCCTGGACGGCGGTCCCTCGTGTGCACGTCCTGTACGAGACGGAGGCATCCTGTCATTGCCCCGAGGACGTCTCCTCTTCTTTGCGCGGTTTGCCCACTTTAAAAGAGTCGAGTGCGACCCCTCGTCCGGGGCTGCACACCCCTAGCACCCGAACGGAAGGACCCCTCGTTCGAGACGATGCTGGAAGCTGCTCCCGTTCTTTATCTACCTCTTCCGCTCCTTCTCCCTCGCGCGCGCCTTCTCTCTTTCGCTCTCCGTCGCTCTCTTCGCGTTCGCCCCGTATTCTACGGTCCCTCTCTCCTACTCTTCTCGCCGCGGTGCCTGTGATCAGCAGCCTGGCACGCGTCGAGGACTCCACCTCGCCCCGGGCACCGGCGCTTCTCCTTTGACGTTCCGTACGATTCGAGAGCTCGCAGTTTCGCCGCTTCGAGGGGTCGTACCGAAAACTACCCCGGGACAATAATATTCCACGGCGATCGGCCGATTCATCGGACGAGAGAGACAGAGCGAGAGAGAAAGGGTGTGTGTGTGTGTGTGTGTGTGTATGTGTGTGTGCGTGCGTGCGTGCGCGCGCGTCTCGATCCAGGCTTTCGTGGCACGATGGGACAGCTTATTGCGTTGGCTGGCTCGATGACGAGGAGGTTCGTTCTCGGCGTGTAATCACCTACCTTCTCTCGTGACTCGTTTGTCGGGTAATGACGTCTCGCTATCCTTTGACGAACCACTTACGCGTACGTTCCCATTAGAGAGATCTCCGTTGCGTTTATCGGGAGGAACTGTCTACGAAAGAGGGAGGGGGAGCGAGTGAGAGAAAGAGAACGAGGTACAGCGGCACGATCTCGCTTCTGAATCTTCTTAGATACACTTATCTTTGGAGCAAAAATACTGTCGATGCTTGCGTGAACGAGACGATTCCGGAGGATTTCAGTGTCCCCCAGGTGGTTTCGTCGAGGTATACGGTGTGGTCACTATCACTACAGTCTTCGTCGCACCGGCTCTATCTTTGGCATTCTCTTCGGCGAAGTACTTCAGCATAGCTCGGACTCCCGGACGGTCCCCCGACGCGATTCCCTTTATCCGATTTGCACCGCGAACTCGCCGACCGCGACACCCTTCTCGGCGAAGTCTATTCGAAGATCTGGTGACATCCTGTCGTCCTTTTGCACTTGCAGGTCGTCCACCTTCTTCTTCTTTATCTTCTTCTTCGTGTTCTTCTCGCGTCTGCTGTACTCAGTAGCGGTGGATACGGATGAACGAGCCGATTTGTCGGCGCGTTGGTCGGAAGAAGAGAAGAGAGCGCGGTGTCTCACTCGACACTTCCGGTGTGTGTGCGCTCGCGGCGAAGTGTCAAGCTCAAATAAAAGAAAAGTCGCCCTCCGGATCCTCCTACTCCTCCCACACGCGGACCATCACCCACCTTCCCCCCTTCCCCGCCTCTCTTCGGTTGCAAGTCCTCTTCCTCTTTCTCCTCAACCACCGCCTCCTCTTCCTCTTCCACCGCGGCTTCCTCGACTTCTCTCTCCCTCGTAACCAAGCCTATCTTTCGCTCCGTTCGTGCAAACAGTCGAATAGCAAACTTCCCGCGATCGTCACGCACGGTGCGACGATGACGACATAGCCAGGCGAGGCTTTGTGAACCGCGGAAGAGGAAAACGTCAAGAATCGGCTGGAGGAAGGGGCAGAAAAGGTGGAGGAGTCTTGGAGGGACTCCAGGAGTGGAGGTGCCGACGCGTTTGATCGGATCTCAACGGGGGTGGAAGAGGTTCCTGCGGATCAGATCGAGGGCAGAGGATACGATCAAAGGTGAACCGTCGTCTCGTATGAGACGAAGAGGAGATGCTAAGGAGTTTCGCGAACGTCGATCAGAGGACAGTGGAACGGGACGAATGTGTGGTAATCCGAAGCAACGAGCTCGATGGAGAGGAACGCGAGAAGAAGGTCACGCACTTTCGTTATCCCCGTGTTCTCTTGTTCTTCCCTCTATTTTGCTCTCTCTCTTTCTCCCTATCTTTCCTTGGTTCGCCGACACCGACACCACGTTGCCGCAGAGCCGGACAGATAGACAGAATCTGAACGATTCCGCCTTCGTTCAAGACCGACGAGAAGCTGTCAGGAAGATCGCTCTGTCTATGATGAACTCGGTGCGCAGTGCGCGGCTACGGGGCCCTCCTCGCCCTCCCATAGGGAGAGAAAGGAGAGATAGGGAACGGTATAGGCACGAAGGAACCAACTACCCCCCCACCATAGCCACCACCATCCGGACACGACCACCACCACCATCGGCCACCACCCCGAGATTCGGTGTGAGAGACGAAGAGGGACGCGCAGAAACGGAACCTGGACGAGGACGACGAGATATCGAGGGACCGGGATGGAAAGGGAGAAATAGCGGAGGTAGAGAACGGCAGGAAAGAGAGAGACGGAAAAATGCGCGGCGCGGCCGCAGGCCGCTTCTGCATCTCTCTTTTCCTTCCCTTTTCCTCCCACCCCGGGATCCGTCGTCTCTTTCCTGCCGTCGGCGGTGACTCCGTCTCGTTCTCGAAAGAAAACACCTGAAACGCCTCCCCGTGAACCAACAGGTACGCCGGCACATCGGCGGCCTGAATTTTTGCATCTCAGGGTGTTCGTCGTTGGCGCGAGATATTCATTCTCTTTCGACGAAAGCAATCAACTCAATGGAGGTTGTTTGTCGATCAACCGTGGCGAAGATTGCGCACTCTGCGTTCGTTCATCGCTGAAATTCCGATCAATTTGTTCGATTTTACTCGATCATAGAGGGAAGGGGGACAAACGCAATTCATTTAGTCGCAAATCGGCAAAAGTTCAGCTCCTTGAGACTGACGCAGCTGCTGATACCGCTTCGAGCGTCTCGGATTTGTCAGCGTGTAAACAGACGGACTATTCCCGCTTGCCGAGATTCCCCGACATATTTCCCGGTTCCCGAAGGATCACACCCTCCGTCGGAAACAGAAGAAAGAAGGTTGCCCGAGATCACGTGACGGGGGCAAGTAGGAGGAGCAAAATTCCCCTACCTAGCATCACTTGGAGGAGTCAATCGGCATAATTGAGGCTTATCTTCCTCCCTTACGCAAACTGCCGTCCGCCTACTCTACATCCCCTCTCTTGCTGGGGTCTTTCCTTGGGTCCTGGCTTGTGCTAGACTGCGAAGGGTGCCAAGTTCAAGTTGCTTTAGCAACAAGGACCTCTCGTTACGGTGATCGATTCGCAGTTGGTACTCGGGACTCGAGGTCTTCAATAGATACTTTTGAAGCAACAATGATGTCTAATGAATATCAATATCGAAGTGGAAGACGAAGGAAGTGAAAACAATGCAACAACCTTGTTTGATTCGTCGAAATTTTACCCCTTCTTTTTCGCGACTGCTATCTTCACGAGGCAATTTTCAATTACACGGCAATTATATTTCTGTAAACGCGATATATAAGAAAAGTGCTGTTAACTTTTTGATTACGACTTTGATTTGTACGATATTCCAACTGAAAGTTTGATTGACATAAGATTCCCGAAAAAGCTAGATAGTGCCGAGAGTGTTCTACCGTGAACATAGTCATATATTCGACCTGTCATTCAACTGTTTCTTTATACGCTTGGTGTCGCCAAGTCATTACCGTTCTGCTTGTTTAGGAAGGCACATGCGAAGAATTGCGCGTGTGTTTACGCGATTGCTCGCTATCGTGCGATCGAGCACACGGGCAAGAGAAACGAGACGGGTAGATACCTAAATCGAAATGCCTATGACATCTGAATCGAAATAGCTGTGCCGTTAACTATCTGACGCGTATCTCCTCGCATCGTCGGCTCGCTCTATAGTTAATTAGTGGCGCGTCCAATATAATATCCGTCGCACGATGATCGCAGGTCGGTGCCGCGCGATTGCGAGAACCATAGCGAGGGAGCGAAGCTTCCTTCCCGTTTCCTCTCACCCCGGCCTGGCCTCGCCGCCGTCGATCGACGCGATGTGGAAGTGCAGATTTCATTGACGTGGTCGCTGAGCTGGCAATTAGCCGCGGCAGCGACCCCGGCTCGCGTACACTGCGCGCATAGTCACCCCACTGCGCCACGTGGTCGAAGATCAAACGGTATCCTGGCACAAAGCGCAACCAGCTGGGGTCTGTCCCGATAATCGGCGGCGACGCCGGGGCCTCGTGGTCGACGAATTCGCGGCGACGAGCTCGTTCGGTCACCCTCGCTCACGACCTTTACCCTGTGCCTAATTAGGATTCACGTGCTATTCGAGAGAACGAACAGGTGCGTATCCGCCGATAATCGGACAGTTGATTCAATTAACGAAATTGGTTTCCGCCGGCTTAATCGCGCGCAAGGAGCTCGTCTTCAGAGGTGCGCGTGACGTGCCTGTGTGAATTGCTTTAAATATTATTCATATAATAATCATTGTATATAGAACAGCAATTGTGCAAAAGGGATTTATTTAGACATCATTTTACGGAGTTTCAATTGGCATGTTACGAGAGATTTATAAGGCAAGAATTTTGGCGAAAATTGATATGGAATTTCGTAACCGAGAGATAAATTGACATCCTGCAATGATTTGTATCTTGGGAACTGAAATATACTATTAAAAAATTTGTTATATTGTTAGCGAAAATGACCGTGTTCCTCGGTGAGATAGACCTTGCTGACAGTCTGTTCCTGCACGACTGGAAGCATGGCAAAATTGAAAGGAATTTATATGTAAAGAAAAAGACTATAATATTCTTCTCTCGCGTGTACTCTGAAACGATCACAGTTTTTGACGGAATCAGCTTTCATTAACGCAATCACCACTACGTATAGTTCGGTCCGCGCAGTAATCTTGGATTATCGCGATACGTCACCGCGTCTGTGCAGGTGGTTCGAACGTAAGCGAACCTTCGACGCAGCCTTGCTGTCCCAAACGGCTAACGAGCCGTTATCTCGTGCACGCTGCGGAATTATAGGCGGAATTATAGGTGGTGATTTATCGCGGTGAACCATTTACCGTGAGCGTGCACACCGCTCGCGACATGTGTTTCTTTTTGTCTCGCGCACGCACGTACATACGTACGTACATACATATGTGCGTACATACGTACGCGGCCCAGCCACGTTCCATTCGTTTCGTAGAGGGACACTCATTGCCGTTCTCGATACCTCGTCGCGATAACATCGTTCGTGCTTCCAGAGGGATCCCTGGAAGCGCGCTTCTCTCGCCGCGTCTCTCTCCCTCTCGTCCTCCATCGTTCCACCTCGGTCTATCTTACGCAGCGTGTATCCTCCGTCATCCTATCAGGGTGCATTACTTATCGGGCTATCGAGTGTCCTGACCGTGATCCTGGCACGCGAGTGCCGATACGATCGGGTCGCTCGATCATCCTATCGCCGCGCAATGCGCCGCCGCTCGGCAACCTAATTGGCCGGCTCAGGAAAAGGGCACGAAATCCTGCCATGAAGGGCGAAGTGGAGGAGAAGAGAAGAGAAGAAAAGAGAAGAGAACAAGGAGGAAGAGAGAGAGAGAGAGAGAGAGAGAGAGAGAGAGAGAGAGAGAGAGAGAG